AGCAACCTGAGATATGAATGGAACAGAGAAGGCAGTGAAGACAAAGAACACAGTGATTGTCATTCAAAACCACTAACTGCAGTAGATTTCTTAGTTTCAAAGCACGTACTCTTTCCATTTTCTTTTGATTGCTGTACTTTGGAGATAATGAATTAGTGCTGGTTAAATACAGCACTCCTCTCTAAAACACAATCTATCGATTACTCTAATGGAACTGTGCCTTCTTTTATTGCATGCTTAAACTACAGCCATTGAGTCAGTTCCAACTCACAGTGACCCTATAGAACAGAGCAGAACTGTCCCCATAGGATTTCCACGGCTGTCAATCTTCACAGAAGCAGACGCCTCATTTTTCTCCTGTGGAGCAGGCTGGTGGGTTTGAACCACTGACCTTTAGGTTAGCAGCCAAATGCTTTAATCACTGCGCCACCAGGGCCACTAATCGAATCCTTAAAGAACTGCATTTGCTAAATCAATCAATTACATGCCCATCAATGGGTTGGAAACGTTTCGGCAGTAATTAGATGCCTGCTTCTTTAGATTGGGAAACATACCTCCAGAAGAGTATATAAAACATATCGAGACCAGTTTAAGACAACAATAAAATCATCACCGGGGTAGCTGGCCCTGAGCTTATAGATCGGAATAGAACTAGAGCCCATGGAGCCCTTGTACTCAAACTCAACACATGCTCCTCTACTCCCCACCAGAGAAACCGTCATCCCGAATTTCCTATGAATGGTTATCTCACTTCCCTTTGCAGTGCATGCAGGTTTCCTGAACAAGACACCGTTTAGTTAGACCTCCTATAAAGGCTGCATACTGTGTGTGTTCTTCCAAGACTGCTTCCTCTACCCTTACGTTTGTCAGACTCACCCACGCCTGCGCAATGTTCTGTCATATGAGCAAACACATCCTCTCTCCTACAGATGGACACGTGCTTTTTCTGAACCCCCTCCTTTGGCTCTAACGGGCAAGCCTGCTGGTGTGCACACTCCCTACTGCACAGGAGCCACCTTCCTGGGGATACACCTGGGATGGGATCTCTGGGTGGTGGGGTTTTCTCATGGGACTGTTATGGACTCAACCGCAGCCCTCAAAATTATGTGCTGTAAATCCTAATGCCCACACCTGTGGTTATCATCTCCTTTGGGTCTGGGTTGTCTTTGTTATGTTAATGCGGCACGATTAGCCAAGGCTGTGTCTTCAATCCACCTCCATTGTGATGTAAACTAGCAATGGGGTGGGGAGACCCAGGCCACTGGTCACCCAATCACCTCCGAAGAGAAGCTGGGAAGATGACAAGGACTCTCCCCAGTGCGAGTGAGAGAGTGCCGTCCCCTAGCACCCAGCATGGTCATCTAGCAGTGCCAGGTAACTGAACCAGAGACCTCAAGAGGGATCCTAACAAGTGGTCTACACCTCCCATTAGTGAACAAAGGTTCCCATCACTCCACATCCTCACCAAGGCTGGCAAAAAAAAGAGAAAAAAACCCAAAAAGCTACCAACAGAACCTGTGAACATCCCAGAGTATCCACTGTATTCCTAGTGTCACCTTCCTATGAAGTTCTCTTGTGAGGAATAAGCCTGAGCATCTTACGCTCACAGGACATCTGATTTTCTTCTTCCGTGAAATACTTGTTCACGGTTTTGCACACTTCTCTCCTTCTCCTCCTTGCCTGTTGTGGCCGCCTCAGCTGCTGTCAAGTCTATTAGGACTCATAGCAACCCAATGCACAACACAACCAAGCACTCCCTGTCCTGCACCATCCCCACAGTCCCTATTTGCTTGAGCCCATTGTCGCAGCCACTGTGTCAATCCATCTCATTGAGGATCTTCCCACTCCATGATAGCTTTCTCCAGGAACCAGTCCCTCCTGAGCACATGACCAAAGTAGGTGACACGAAGTCTGGACATTCTCACTTCTAAGGAGCATTCCAGGTGCACCTCTTCCAGCATACACTTGTTTGCTCTTCTGGAAAGCAATGGTAGTTTCAATTTCTGTGCCAACACCCTAATTCAAACCATCAGTTCTGTCTTCCTTATTCATTGTCCAGCTTTCACATGCATATGAGGCAGATGAAAATACCACAGTTTGAGTTAGGTGTACCTTCATCTTCAAAGTGATGTCTTTGCTCTTCGACACTTTCAAGAGGGCTTTTATAGCAAATTTGCCTAGTGCAATAGGATGTCTGGTTTCTTACCTGCTGCTTCCATGAGTGTTGATTGTGGAGCCAAGGAAAACAAAATTTTTGACAATATCAAATTTTTCCTCCATTTATCGTGATGTTGCTTACCGGTCCAGTTGTGAGAATTTTTGTTTTCCTTATGTTGAGAGGTGTAATCCATACTGAAGACTGCAGTCTTTGATCTTCATCAATAAGTGCTTCAAGTCATCTTCACTTTCAGCAAGTAAAGTTCTGTCATGTGCACATCACAAAGTTGTTAATGAGTCTTCCTCTGATTCCGATGGCGCGTTCTTCTTCACTTAGTCCAACATCTTCGATTATTTTGCTCAGCATACAGATTGAATCAGTATGGTGAAAGGCTACTACTCTGATGCACACCCTTCGTGACTTTAAATAATACAGTATCCCCTTATTTTGTTCCAACGACAGCCTCCTGGGTCCTCATGAGCACAAGGAAGTGTTCTGGAATTTCCATTCTCCACACTGCCATCCATAATGTTATGATCCACACAACTGAATGCCTTTGCATAGTCCGTAAGGCACAGGTAAACATCTTACTGGTGCTCTCTGCTTTCAGCTAAGAGCCACCTGACATCAGCAATGCTGTCCCTTGTTCCACAGCCTTTTCTGAATCCAGTTTACATTTCTGGAAGTTTCCTGTTGATATACGGCTACAACCATTTTTGAATTATTTTCAGCAAAACTTTACTTGCATATGATATTAACGATATTGTTATTTCCACAGTCTGTTGGATCACCTTTCTTTGGAATGGATACACATGTGGATTGATTGCCGTTAGGTGCCACTGAGTTGGCTCCAATTCATAGCTATCCTACGTACAACAGAACGGGACACTGTCTAGTGGATTCATTGCTAGATCCTTCTGTATTCTGGATATTATTCCTTTGCCAGTTACATGCATCATATACCTTCTACCAGCTGGTGGCTTGTCCTTCCTTAGCATGTGTTTTGATGAAAACAAAGTATTAATAACAACAAAGCCCTCTGTGGTTTAAGACTTTTATGCCTGATCAGAGAAATTCTCTGCTACTGCAAAGTCCAGCATGCTCTATATTGTTTTCCAAATAAATGTTTGATAATTTTGCCTTTTACTTTTAAGTCTTCATTCTATTCAGACTTGATTTTTGTGTCTAGTATAAAGCAGGAGGTCAATTTAACTTTTAAAAATGCATTTACTGTTCCAGCACCACTTATACAAATGTCCCTCATTGCCCACCTATTGGCAGCAGCACAGGGAATCTGCTTCTGTGCTCACACGTCTGTCTGTCCCTCCAACAGCACCACACTGTGTGACTTTACGGAACCACCAAGTCTGCTGCTGTGGAGTTAATTCTGAGTCACAGCAACTTTGAAGGATAGAGGTGAACTGCTCCACAGGGTTTCCAAGGCATCAATCTTTATGGAAGCAGACTACCACGTCTTTCTCTCAGTGAGCAGCTGGTGTGTTCGAACTGTCCACCTTTTGGTTACGTACTTAACCAGTGCACCACCAGGACTCCTACCATATTAGTAACTACAGCTTCATTATGGGCCTTGATATTTTCTTTTTGAACATAAGGTATATTCTGAACAGTTATCTTCTAT